CGCAGCGGATGAGATCGAGGTCCTTTGCGCAGCGAAGGGCAACTTGGAGGAGCGGCAGCTGCAGACCACGCATCTCCCGCACACGCCGACGCGCTAGGAGGCCGCGTGCAGCAGCTTGCAGCCTCACCGCCGCCGACACGTGGCGGGTAGCGATCCAAGACGGAAGCGGTGACGGCGACGGCAGGGACTTGATCTGCTGGATGTGGACGCCCTGGGATGGCGGCGGCGCTGATGGGAACAAGGTCGTCGCACTCCTGTCGTAGGGCATCCCATACTGGGCGGCGGAGCTGACCGGCGGTGGCTGCTGCGCTGTCGCACCGGGCGCGGCGGAGGCCTCCAGGAGCGGCGGCTGCCACTGCAGCCAGGGCTGGGCGGTGGTGGCGATGGATGGCAGCTGCAGCGAGCTGCAGCGGCCCGGCGAAGGCCGCCTGGTGCGGCGGCTGCCACGACAGCCACGGCGGCGCAGGGGCGGCGATGGGCGGCGCAACCGAGTGCGGCCCATAAGACCCGGCCAAGAACAGGTGGATCTCCTGGACCGCCTGGGTTAGGTCCCGCAGCACCCCGGACACCTCCTCCCAGGTGAGGACGGTGGGGGCGGGCGCGACAGAGGATCCCGGCGCGGGCAGGAGCGGGGTGACGGTCATGGTGGTCGCGGGAGGCGACAAGGTAACCGGCAGCGGAAGAGACGGGCTTGGCGGCGGTGAAGACATGATCGAACCGAAGCTAGCTGATACCAAATTGTTATGGCGCTGCTAGATGGAGGGCGCGAGAAGGCCGGCCGGGGGCCTTTTTGCCCACTTTTGGGCAAGAGGGAAGGGATTTCCTTCTTAATTCTTGCTTGATTCGATTGATACGTCTCCTCTCTTTATATAGAGAGGTTTACTTGACTCTCAAGCAAGGCTTACTTGACCCCTAAGCAAACGACCCTTATCTCTAATTAACCCTAAGACTAATGGGCCCATTAAGCCCATTACGTACTGTAACACAGAAACTTTGATAAACACATGTAATGGCAGGATAGAACATAAACATCATATATCCAAGACAATACTCGAGTGGTTTGCATACATCTGATTCAAGCATACAGTAAAAAAAGAAGCATACGGACAGGTTGCAAGAAATTATTAAATGAACCTGAGCCTCATGATGGCTTTTCTGCTCCCGCCTCTTCCCATCGGAATTTAATTACAAATATGCATGCCGTAGTTAGGTGCATATTTTCTGAGCTTCTGCATCTTCAGGACAGTATTTAAATACAAAGAACTCTTGGCTTCTTGACAGGATTTTGCAGCTCTGCGCCATGTTGATTTCAGTGCGCAGCATAAGAAATCAGGCATATACTAACACATAAATCAAACATTTCTCCCCTACGGAGGTTTGTTTCAGCACAATGATGTCTCCAAGGTGGATGGAGGGTAATCAACCTCATGCCACCCAGTCAGTAAGCTCCTGACATGTCACTGTCTACAGGAATACTAACCTAGCATGGATTTCATAGACTGACCATCATTACCAACCATGGCATTGCCAGTGCCCTTGGGGACCTTGCGCTCCTTAAGGAGCCTGCGCACAGTGGCCATGTCATCCCATCTGTTTGATGCACCATATATGTTTGACAGGAGGATGTACCGGCTACCATGACGGGGCTCCAGTTCAATGAGCTTCTTGGCAATCTCCTCACCAAGCTCCACCTCACCATGGATCTTGCAGGCGCCAGCAAGCGCACCCCACAAGCCCGGATGCGGCTCCACCGGCATGCTGTTGACAAAATCCACTGCCTCCCTAACATGACCCGCCCGACCGAGTAAATCAACCATTAGGCCGTAGTGCTCTTGGAGTGGCTGGATTCCAAAGCCATTAACCATCTTGTTGAACAACCAGCGGCCCTCATCAACGAGACCTGAGTGGCTACAAGCACCCAGCAACCCGATGAAGGTTATATCATTTGGTCGAACACCAGCCATCTGCATCTTCCAGAAGAGTGACAAGGCCTGCATTTCCCTGCCGTTCATGGCGAGTCCAGTAATCATCGAGTTCCACGAGTAGATGTTTTTCACAGGCATTGCAGCAAACACCCTGACGGCATTATGGATACCCCCACATTTACCATACATGTCAACAATCGCTGTCGCGAGGATGACGCTCATCCCATTCAGCTCCCGCTTGGCATACGCATGTACCCACATGCCGTGCTCTATCGACCGCAGCAGAGAGCACGCTGAGACAGCGCTCACCAGTGCAGCCTCATTCGGCACGACACCCGTCCCGACCATTTCACTGAACACCCTCAACGCCTCCTCACACTGATTGGACTGCACGAGCCCAGTAACCATCGAGCTCCACGAGGCGGCATTCCGGCTGGGCATTGTATCGAACACCTTCCGCGCCTTGGACAGCATCCCGGCGGATGCGTAGGCGCCCAGCATCGCGTTCCAGGAAACCACGTTCCTCTCAGGCATGGCGTCGAAGAACCACCTCGCACGCGCAACGTCGCCGGCGTTGGCATGCCCGGTGACCATGGTGGTCCAGGTGACAACGTCGGCGACATCCTTTGTGTAGGAGAAGAGCCGCTCGGCGGAGGTGACGTCGGTGGCCCTGAAGTAGGCGGAGACGGCAGCATTGAGGACGTAGACGTCGCGGGCATGGCCAAGCCTGAAGGCGAACGAGTGGAGGAGGCTTGCGACGGGGAGGCTGGGGGAGCGGGTGCAGGAGTGGAGGGAGAAGGAGAGGGAGAGGTGGTCGGGCGGGAGGCGGTGGAGGAGGAGGAAGCGGAGGAGAAGGGCGCAGGCAGCGGGGATGCGAGCGGCGCGGAGGAGGGAGTTAACGGAGGTGCAGGAGGATAGGTGGCCAGAGGTGATGAGGGCGGCGTGGGCGCGGTGGAGGATGGCTGGCCTGGCGGCGGCATTGGTCGCCACGGCGGCGAGCCAGGAGGAGGGCTGGGAGTTCGCCATGGGAGAGCACTGACAGGTAGGACCGGCGAGAATGGGGCAATGTTGATCTGCCCCTCGAGTGGTCTGCATCGTCCGATGGAAGGCGGGCGGTCGTGATCTTTTACAATTTTTTTGAGGGGACGGTCGTGATCTTTTACATGCTGGTGCTACAACGATGGGCTACGCAATCTTCCTCCGGCCAGGACGGCCTCCGATGCGGCGATGCTGCAGCCGTTTCGAGTTCATACATTTTTGGCACAGCTACTGCAAAACCAACTGGGCCACCCTGCGAAATCTGCGTCAGTACCGGGGCTTTGTAAGGCTTTTGGGCCCGATTTTCCTCACTAACTGGACCAATTTTCTCTTCTTAATGGTGGAACTGCAGGAAGCTGCCCTCCTGACGAGGTTTTCACAAAATTATGCGATCTGTCCCAAAAAAATAAAAATAAAAAATTATGCGATCATCCGATCCAAATCACCACAAGTCCACAACATATAAGCAGAAAACGACGGAGAATCTGAAATTTTTGCTCCTATATCGCAGAAAAGAATAAGTAAACGACTCTTCCCCCCGAGAACAAAACCGTTTCGTCCAAGTGTTGCAACTAATTATAGGTTACATATATATAACAGATTTGACAAAAATAACCAGACAGCAAAATGTACAAATTTTTCTTAGGATGAGAGTGGGGTGCAGGAAGATCCGAGTGTTGCGCTTGTCCGCTCCATTGTTCAGCCGTGTACGTCATCCACAACCACCCTCGTCAGGCGGCAGGTCTCTTGGATGCTCTTGAGGTGTTTGTACCACTATCGGCACTGTCGTCATCTTCTGCCTGCAAAGATGCAATAGTTTGTGTGTCAACAAGTAGTATCAAATAGCACATTCCTAAAAAAAAGAAAAGAAAACAAATGCCATGCATGCCGTCTGGAAATCAAACTCGGTGCTTATAGTGGATGAGAAGAAAATATCTTGAGAAATGCACAAGAAGAAATGCAAGAGGAAACGCTTTGGTCAACATTCTGCAATGAAGGCTTTTCCTTGAGCTCTATCTACTACTCCTGTCCAAGATGCTGTTCCAGTATATTACTCTACAAAACTCACAGTTCCACTAAAAATAGAACATGAACTGGAACTATGCATATCGATTGACCATGCGTCCATGCCCAGAATTAGTGTAGAAGCAGCAATGAACACTTCTTAACTACCATGTCCACCACCTAGATGATTTTGTGTGAGCTATTTTTCCCTGCTTGCAGCAAACTTCCATATCTTGTACAGTAAGAATAACATAAGCTGTCTCCAGTGCAAAGACTACAGCCGCCAGTGCTCCATGCAGTGCACTAATCAGAGGAGCTTGGCACCAGATCGACCAACAAGAATAGATACTCGAATCCGAGGCAAAGAGGATTTTTTAGATGAATCGCATCAAGTGTGCAGCTTTAACATTAATAAAGCCCCTGCCAAAGAGGATCAAAACCTGGGTTGTGGAGTTCTTTTTTTTCGAAACGGAGGCAAAAGCTTTGCCTCATCGATTAATTAAGAAGAAGAGAATTGCCCAGTTAATTAAGGGAAAACCGGGCGAAAACCAATACAAACTTAGTACTGACTAAGGTTGTGGAGTTTTGCACCTACGCATCTCACCAGACCTCTTGCAGTGCACTAAAAGGAGCAGACAAACTATAGAAACTTGGTGGCATGTATATGATGGTGTGTGTTCATAAAACCAATTGAACCTAGTTCCCTAGAGATTGACTGCTAGTATTTTTGAAGGTTACAATAATGTTGCCATGGGGTGTTTGGCTGTTCGCTTAACCCGAAAAATATGGCAAGTTCATATGATCTTGTGCAACACTTGCCTTGCAAATATGATAACTGAACTTACCTTACCAACACAGTTCCTCTCTGCTTTCTGCAGGATATATTTTGACGACCCAACTAAATAACCACCAGGATGCTGATTCTGTGAGTGCACTTCGACTGAAGATGAATAAGATGGGACATTAAACACACTCCCACTGCTGGATCTTTTCCTTGATATCGGAGAGTTTGCTATGGAGCCTGTGTCTTCCATCTTTGAGGCCTTGATTACATCAACACAAATGGTCTGTTTATTTGTGCCCTTCAGTTCCTTAGGTTGTAACTCAAGATTCCTGCCATCATCAGTGGGCACTTTTCTATCACAGTGAGGAGATAGTTCCTTCAAAACAACTTTTGGGACATCAAAACTCTTGATATGGCTCAAGTTGTCTTCAACAACCTCACCATCTAATTCTGCTAGTTTTTCGGCTGTATCCAATTGCCACATCGTGGAGATGGCATCATCTAAGCACTCCCGAGCCGTGTGAAGTTCTACTATGGGCATAGGATAGTTGAAGCCTAGCTCAACACCAGCAACTTCTAGTATAGAGCTCGGTGCATCCCACGGATGATGGATCCATTCCCCTGGCATTCTAGCTAGCTCTGGAATCCAAGTTCTTACGTATTCACCATCTGGGTCATACTTTTGACCTTGAACCTAGTTTTGCATGCAAGGAAAGCACAAATGAGAAATAGATAAATCTCCCGTGAGACACAGATAGATAAATTACATGATGCTCAGGTACATACAACTAGATGCTTCTACAAAAAGGACACCATAAGGTTGACAGCTGCAAGACGGAATCATAACACAAATAGTATGTTCTGCAGAATATACAACAGCAACTTTAAGAATGGAAAATCATAGCAACGCAAAAACATCAAGCCATGAACTTTCATGCCTGTATCTCCTATGTTGTTTATAAGAAACTGTCAAGCGTGATAAAATATTCTTGGCTCACCATCTTATCTCTTTTTGAGTCAGATGATTAGCTAATCATTTATGAACTACCACATGAACAGAAGTGCCTTTAAAATCCAATTATGAACGGAGGCTACAATCTTCATTTGTGTTCTTAATTAAGATTAGCAGATATGTCAAATATGAAATGGTGCTACAGTGCTTTGATCTAACAGTTGCATACCTCTGGATTATCAAGACGACCAAGCTCGTGTCCATCAGGCAAAGACCCAGATATGTACTGCCAGCCAAGAATATCACTTTCTATATCAGCATCCAACAGCACATCCCAAAAGTACTTCATCCCCCAAGTCCACGGAATTTGTAGAAATTTCACAGCAAAGCTTGAAACTATTACTCTTATACGATTATGTGTCCAGCCAGTAGCCCATAGCTCCCTCATGCCAGCATCTACTAACGGGTATCCTGTCATTCCCTGTCTCCAGGATTTGAACCGGTCCTCGTCTGCTCGCCAGGGGTAGTGTTTCAAGTTCCCCAGCAGCGACCTTTCATGTGTGAATGGAAAGTTGAAACACAAGTAACGTGAATATTCTCGAAGACCAATTGACAGCAGGAACAAGTTAACACTCTCCCCAGCTCCGGATTTCCCCTCATTTTCCCACTTGATCTGTTGCACCCTGACAAGTTGATAGATTTTCCTTACACTCACCTCACCATAATGAAGATATGGTGACAATAACGATGTTGTAGTTCCGGCAACCTTCATTCTGTCTTTTGAATAATCTAGGAGACCATGAGACACGAAATCCTCAAGTGTCTTCTCCGCATTGCGCCAGCCAGGAGACCAAGCCCTGCTTAGCAAAGCATTGCTTGATTCCTCATCCTTACTTGATTCAAGACCTAGGTTATCAATTGAACTACTGCAAATGTTTTCTATACCTGAATGTGAAACCGAAAAATGGTAAGTATTAAAGCAACAATAGCTTGACAGATTAGAAATTGAGTATAAGATTGGATCGCCAATTACTAGACCTGTATGGCTGTATATGTGGACAAAGCAATGCTTTCTACTTTTCTAGTACTCCCTCCAAATAATGTAGTGCATATAGATTTTTCCAAAAGTCAAACACTACAAACTTTGGCCATGTTTATAGACAAAAATATGCACATTTAAAATGCCAAATGCATATCATTTGATACATCATCAGTTATATTTCATGATGTATATGTTTGGAATTGTATATATATAAATACTTTTCTCTGTAAACTAGGTCAAAGTTAGCTTATTTTGGCTTTTCAGAAAATCCATACGCACTACATTATGGAACTGAAGGAGTATAAAACAGCTTTACCTACATTATTATTTTTAAATTTCAACATGCTATTATACAGTAGCAAACTAATTCCTTAACATAGGTAAGGAAGCTGCATCACATGAAATGGACAAAAACAAGCAACAATGTTCCGCAAGTAGAGGCAAATGATAAGTGTTCAAGAACTCAAAATGATGATGCCAGGCCACTAGCCACAATCTACCTGAGACAGGCACCAACCTCCAAGGGGCAAGAGATGGTGATATATCGATATGTAATTTCATGCACTTTTCCCAATACTTTTTGAACGTTGTAAATGCAAGCCCATTCTCATCATAAACTTCCCATGGCTCATATAGCAGATCACCATTGAAACTCTGCATAGAAATTCCAAGGCCCAAAAGCTCATTCTTGATTTTGTCATCCCGCACAAGTGAAATAGGGTCTATAGCATAGGAAGTGAGAATGAATAAGATCAAAATAACATAATTAAAAGGACAAAAAAGAGTCAGCAGTAAATCAACTGGTACCAGAATAGAGCAATTGTCGACTCGAACTAAAGCATGTACACTTTATACAAACTTTACAGGCATAGGTTTTGAGCATGAGAACACTACTTCTGTGTTTCATAGCATCCATGTACTGTCTTGGACAGAACATATATCACTTCGTGTGAGGCCACACCATGGTGGGTTAGATTTACCCGAGGAATAATATTTTAAAAAAGTCATTGGCCTAATGACTATTTCAGATTATTTATTAGTATATGCTTATTGAAAATGTTTAAAACTCAGCTATACTGAATTTTATAGAGTTAAATTTGGAAATAAAAAAATCATGATGTGTTTCTGGTTACTTCAATTTTCTAAATATTTTACAGTATCAATTAATCCGAATTGTTTCATCATTCGCGTGGAGGATACCCTAAGCATTACGGCATTAGGAAAACTGATCGCACAGGTTGAGGAAACATGATGAATATATTTCCTTGTCAAAT